CCGGGGTCTGCGTAGTCAACCAAGGTCCTGCAGCCCTCCTCCCACACTACCACCCTGCTATCATCAGCACGTTGTCAAGTCTTTTTCTTTCTGATTTTATTTTTAATATTAATATTCTCACACAAAAAATCACCGAAAATAGGGATAGGGTTGGGAAGACCCCTCTGCCCCTGGGGCAGAGAGACAGTGCAGTGCGAGGGGGCGGGACTGTAAACCCCCCACCCCTCCGCAGCCCCAGCGTGGAGGATAAAAAAACCGACAAAACGAAAAAAGCCCCAGAGAAACTCATCCCGGGGTGTCCCTGCCCCAGTGAGGCCCTGGCCCTGGGCTGTTTCACACTTAAAAAAATGAGGTGGGGGGACGAGGGGAAGGTCCTTGTTTTCAAAATTGGCCGAGGCTGGGAAGGACGGGGTTCCTTTTCCTCATAGTTTTCTTTAAAACTTTTAAATTTTTATTTATTATTATTATTTTTTTTACAAAATACCATTTCAGTTCCCACTTCTTCCCCTACAGTACAGGAGTCGCTCACCCTCAGGCGGGGTTGGGGTCGGGTCGGGAGTGGGGGTCTGGTCCAAGAAAGTGCAGGATGTAGGGGAGGGGAGCGGGTTTGAGCACCATGAGAACCCGGCTAGGCCGCGGACGGGCGGAGGCGGACAGGCCGGGCCGGACACACACTGGGGCGCAGGGAGAGCCGGGCGGCGGGCGGTCCCTGGAGGGACGGGCGGGATGGCTTGGGGGTTTGGGAGGTCGGGTTTTCCCAAAAATGAATAAATAGAGGTGAGTGGGACTGTATAAATTAAAATCAAAAAACAAAAACAAACAAAAAAACAAAATACAAATCATAACCAAGTGAATAAACAGACATGTACAGGGGTCACAGCTAGCGTTGGAAGTAAAAAAGGGAGGTTCTGGGGGAGGGGTAAAGCCCATAAAAAGAATCTCATTAAAAACCTCGGCTGCCGTAAGGTCTATGTACATACACGAGCCGCGTGCATCTGCGCCTGGTGGGCGGGCTGGCGGCTGGCAGGCGTGAGGGAACCCGTATGTGACCCCCGCCGCCGCCGGAGCCTGGTCCTTGTGTCTGTTGCTAGAAAGGCCAAAGTCGGTGAGAGGAGGCGCTGGTGGGCGAGGGGCTGCTAGCCCCCTCCCCCGTCTCCCATTTTTTTTCCTTTTTTCCTCATATTTGCCTAAGAATTTTTTTCTTAATAAATTAAGTGGAAGGGAGCTGCCAATGGGGTGGAAGGGCTGAGCCCGACCCCCTTTCCGGCCAAAGGCGGGACCTAGGTCCAGCCCAGGCGTGTGCTGGTGGCCCCGCGGCGCCCTGCGGGTGGGCAGGCCGGCGGGGCGTCCGGCCTCATCGCGATGTGCTGGCTGGCGCCTGTGGGGAGAAAACCGTCGGGGAGGCTCAGAGGCGGGCGTGGGTGGGAAAACGCCACAGCCCACCCCCTGCACCTGGCTCTGAGTCCCTGTCGGGCTGCGCCTGCCGGGCCCTCACCAGCGTGAAGGCGTCGTAGGCCTGCGCCAGCTCCTCGGTGCGGTACTGCTCCAGCACCACCACGCCTTGGAGGCCTGCGCTGCGGCGCCGGGCACAGGCCTCGCAGTGTACCAGGTACGTATTGCGGCTGCCGTTCTCGCTCGTCACGAACAGGATATTGAACACCTCCACCTGGGACAGGGAGAGGGGGCAATCACGAGGAAGGGCGTCTGGAGGCACCTCCCACCGGTAGCAGCAGAGGGAGAGCTGGTCCACTCACGTCGCACTCGTTGCAGTAGTAGGCGGGCTCATCTTTGACCCGGCCCTGGTAGGCGATTTTCTTCCCTGCCCGCACCAGGCTCTCCCGCTGCACCTGGCAGTGCTTCATGGACTGTAGGAGGCAGAACCTGCACGCAGAGCGACGTAGTGGTGAGGCAGGGCCGCCCGGCCAGGGAGAGCAGGGCAGCGCCCCGCATCCCCTTTTATGCCCGGGTCACATCCCTGACCTGGGCATGTCACAGTTGAAATTTCATATGGTTTTGTCTATTTGGACCACTGGAAAATAAAGCTCCTCAGAGTAAGGACCTTGTGGGCCACCCCAGCACACTAACACCGCAGGGAACATGGATCAGGAAGGAAAAGAGATGGAGAATGGTATAGAATGGATCAGGGAGAACAAGAGCAGGACCAGCTCTCATAGAGATGGGCTCCCACCCAAACAGTGCCCTCACTTGATCATCTTGAACAAGTCGGGGTCGCTGATTTTGACCGTGCGAGCCACATTCCAGGACACGTGAATCATGGGCACAATGGACTTGACGTTCTTCACCTCGTTCCACTCATACCGTTCCAGGGCCAGCTGGTACTGATAGGCTGCAGGGCAGAAGGGGTCACTACAGGATTCCCAAACAGCCACCAGCCACTTGGGCTCCAGTCCCATCCCTCACAGCTAACTGCCCTCCAAGACCCCGGCAAGGGGGTCACTCCCCAGGGCCCTACTCCCTCACTGAGGAGGAGCTCTGCAAGCCCCATCACCTGGCCCCACCCTCTCACCGGTGAGGGGCCCCACGTTCCAGGCGATGTTGTTGCACCAGCCGGTGGCCTGCACCCAGTGCACGGTCCCCGCGTTAATCCACACGAGGTCTCCGGGGCGCTGCACGAACCGGTACACAGGGATATTGGAAGCATAGAGGTCATCCAGGATTGGCCACCAAGAACCCGTCAGGTAGTCCACACCGTGCCTGCAGGGTGTCAACAGTCAGATGGAAATCGGGGACATAGGGACAGGATAAGACAGGAGGTGAGAGGGGATCATCTGGCGCGCGGAGGACAGCGCATACCGGTCGCAAAAGGCGCTGATGGTCTCCCAGTAGTGCTCGTGCACCGCAAACCACTCACAGTCTCCGGGGCCGATGTTGATGTTGACGGAGCAGAAGTTGTTGTTCTCTTGGTGGCCTTCAGGGGGCGACAGAGAACGGCATGGTTAGCCGAGGCTGCTCTCCAAGGCAGCCGCCCTGAAGCCCTCACAAGCTGGAGGAGGAGGGCGGACAGCAGCCCGCCCCTCGCACACTTCTCGCACCCGCGCGCCCCAGCGAGCAGCGCACCTGGCGTTCGGCTGCCAGGGACCTTCATATACAGTTGCACTGTGTTCATTCCCAGGATGGTGTGGCCCACGTGGCTCAGCATGTTGCCCGTGGACGTGACACGCATGAAGGCAGGCAGCTTCAGCAGCTCCTGCAGCTGGGGCTTCCACCTGTGGTGGAGAAGGTGCAGAAAAGTGAGAGGCTACACCCCCACCACTCTGCCACCCCATGCCACTCCCGCCCCAGCTTTGCTGGCACCACTGACCGCTTAGCATCAGATAGGTCGATGTTGGTGCCAAACTTGATGATGTGATGGTTCTTCGGGTCTGGTGCACTGCTACTGGGGAGAGGAGCACAGGTTGGTGGAGAAGCACCCACAGGGGAAGGAGTCAGGAAGGGAAGGGGCAAACTGTACAGCACCTGGGAGGGGTTTCTGTGGTGCTGTCTGGCTCTTCTGACTCCTCATCCTCACTCTCCTTTTCCTCCTGCTTGGCCAGTGGGAGGCAGGTCTGGGTCAGTGACTTCCCAAGAGCGCCCCCCGCCACAGCAGCCCTAGCTCCAAGTCCCCTGATCCCCCACCCCTGCCCATGCTTTTCTCTCACCTGCAGAGACTCCTGGAAGGATGAGGCCTGGTACTGCGCATACTTGGCAATGGTGGTGTGGGAACGGGAGCTCTCACAGGGCCAGATCTGTCGCGTGCCCGTCAGATCCCAGTTCTCATCTGAGGGCTGCTGCACCTGGGTGCGCACCTCCACCGTGTGCTCGCCACTTGCCTCCACCAGCGTCTTGGTGGAGAAGAGGCCCAAGTCTGCAAGGGAGGGATAAGCAGGGCTTCGAGGCAGAGGATAGGGAGGACCTAACCAACCCTGACCCTTTTACTCCCCAAGCCTGTGACAGGTGGACACAGCCTTCAGAGTTCTGCCTGGGAGGAATAGGTGAGACCCAGCCCTATAAACTGGCCTTCTCAGGGCCTGACCTTTATCTGGATCATCACCAACCCGCTTTCTCCCACTGCTGTTCCAAGCCTTAGCCTCTCTACCACAGTCCTCAGGTGTGCATGAGGTCATGTGTACACAGCACCTGGCACCTAATAGGCACTCAGTGAATGGCGGTTTGCTTCAGTTATCATTGGATCCAAGTAAATTTAGTCAAATGAAAACCTAGAATGTACTCCAAATAATGGAAAAGGCTATTGGTACAGAAAAAAAAAACTTTATATTTCTATCTGGTTTTCTTTAATTTGCATGTGTGAAATTTTGCACCAAAAAAGGTTAAAAAGGAGAAGAAAAGTCCCAAACCATGGGTCTGAATTCAGGGGTTTTGTACAATCTGCATTCTTCTCATCCACAATCACCAAGAAAATCAAATGACTAACCAGGTCCTGAGATACATCCCCTTTCCACCTGCCCACCACTGGGAACAGACAGATGGGAGACAGCCTTAGGTCAGCTGGCCCATCTCTCAGAGCACTCATCACATGTACCTAGGTATGATTGAGGAGAGCTCGCTTTCGCCACTGTCCTGGGTTTTTAAGTGTGGGGTCCCAAAGCACGAGAGCCTTGCAGGCTGTCCCACACCCTTCTGCCAACCATACTCACTGAGCCGCAGAGAGCCCGCCAGACCCCGGATCACGGTGATGGGATTTCGAGGGTCTGTACAGAACTGCAGCAGCACTGGCGAGAAGGCATCTCTTTTGCTCTCCAGCTGCGGGACACCAGGAGGCAGGGCTGGAGTCAGAGTCCTGTCCCAGGCTCACAGCACTCCAACAGCCCCCAACACTAGTCTTAAGACCCTCTGGCAAGGGTGGTTCTGAGCACACATGGCTCACATACATAGATGCTGGGTGTGGGCGGGTTGAGTTTTTCCCGGGGGAGCTTCTCCTCAGTGTTGATCTTCGGTTTCACAGACTGGGTAGGGGAAAGGTAGGACTCTCGAAACTTCCCTTTCACCTTGGCATTCCTGTGGGAGAGCAGTGAAATGGGCACAGAAACATGAAGGTGATGAGGGAAGGGAACTTCCCACCAAGCCAGGCCAGCTGCCTCATGGGTGACAGCCTAACTCACTTGCTGGCACGCACGACGTCAGCAGCACAGTGGCTGATGGTGAGGTCCGCCATGCGTAGCCTCCGCTCTTCAACCTCAGAGGCGATAAAGGTCTCCTTGTCCCCACTCTCTACCTTGATAAGCCGGATCTTCAGCTCCTTGGGGGGGCCCTCACTAAGTGAGCGCAGCTTCAGCATGTCAGCCCGGCTGACACTTGGTGGCCCTGAGGCTTCCTCCCGAGCCTTCTTCCCAGGGACAGTGGCTGATGGGGGTATGAGCTGGGCAGAGGGTGCAGGAGCTGGTGGAGGGGCTGGAGCTGTGGGTGGCTTGGCCTTAGAGGCCCCACTGAGATCAGGCCGGGCCTTCTCACGACCCTGGATCTCCTCGCTCTGCAGGTCCAAGTTCCCCAGCACTCGGCGGCTCTTTTCTTTGGGGGCCTTGGCCTTGGCCTTGGCCCTGCCCTCACGGGGCCGCCGACCCACACTGTCCTTACAGGCCCGCCGGTGCCGCCGGTGCTCCTTCTGGTGCTCTTTCTGCCGCCGCTTGCTGCTGTCCGGTCCTGCTGCCGCCCCACTGCTCTCCTCCTTGGCCTGGGCAGCAGGCAGCAGTCGCTCAGCCCCACTGTCCACTGGGTCTGCTGTGTCTGTTGGGTCTTCCAGGTCTGCAGCACTTCGGCCCACCCGCTCCACAAGGGTCTCACAAGCCCGACTGATCTCTTCTAGCACCTCAGACTCAGAGCGAGCAGGGGGCAGAGGCAGGGGTGGGGGCGGCGGGGCAGGGGTTATGGGGCCCGGAGCTGGCTCTTCGCCTGCCCTGCGCTCCCGGGCCCAGGGCCCACCTGAGGTAGAGAACTGAGATGACAAGGAAGCGGAGGGCTGTGGGGAGCCCTGGGCACTAGGGGCCACTGAGGTGGATGGCAGGGTGGTAGCACCTGATGGGGGACCAGGGGAATACTGAGTGGTGGGCAAGGGCCCAGGCCGGGTGGAAACAGCTGTTCCAGTGCCCCGGTAACAGTACTTTTGTCCCTCCAGCACGGAGGCCAAGGATTTGAGCAGGCTGGTGGGGTTGGCTGGTGGGGGTAGTGGGGGTGGCGGTGGCTGTGGCTGGGGTGGTGGTGGGAACTTGGCGAGAGGTGGCGGTAGTGGTAGGGCTGGTGGTGGCTTCTTCTCCTTTCCCTGGGTGGCCGTGGTGGTGGTGGTGGTGGCGGTAGTTGTGGCAGCAGCGGTGCTTGGGGCCGTGTCAGGGGGAAACGGAGGTTGCAGAGATGTGAAGGGCTCCTTCGGGGGTGGTGGGGCAACTGCGCCCGCCTCCTGTTGTTGCTGCTCCTCCTCCTTGCGAATGGATTCATCCAGCATCTTCATGATGTTGGCCAGCCCGTCAGGTAGGATCTTGAATTCAGCTGGCTCTTCAAACTGGTCCTCCAGTGGGGTAGAGGAAAAATCAAAGAGTCGAGGGCCTCGAGCAGGCAGGTCCCCAACGCTGGGCAGCACAGGCTGGGGAGCTTTATTCATGGGACCTGGGGATGGCCCTGGCCCCACCTCGGGGGTCTTTGGGAAGGAGACCCTGGGCCGAGGGCTCTCCGGGTGCCTGAAGCTTCCTGAGGTATTTTGGTGGCAGGAGGAGGGAGGGGCTGGAGGCAGAGCAAGAGTCAGGGGTGCAAGGGGTGGGTCCTGGGTGCTCAGTGTTGGGCTGGGAGGCCGGGGAAGAGGGTCCATACTTCTGGTCATATACGGAGGTGGGGGAAAGGACACAGGCCCAGTAGGGCTGCTGCTGTGGCTGCCATTGCTGCTGCTGGTGGTTGAGGGAGTGGGAGGGGTGTGCGAATCCTGAGTGCCCACAGAAAAGCGGGGAGCTGAAGGCCCCAAGAAGCCCTCGCGGTGGGGGAGGGGTGGTGGTAGAGGGCGGGGGCGTCCCTCAGCCCCGAAGAGGAGCTCCTCTAAGATCTCTCCATCCTCACGGACTGCCCGGCAGGCAGGGCCCTTCAGCCAGGCAGGGGGCGGTGGAGGGCGTAGAAGGCGGGGACAGGGGGGTGCAGGAGGTGAGGGTAGGCCAGGTGGCAAGGACAGGTGGGGTGTGGCAGCGGGAGCCACCAGGTACGGTTTCCGACTGCTGTGTGCCGAGGGCCCCAGGCGCCCTTGGTGAGAGGAGCCCTCCAGCATGGGAGTTTGGTAATGGTCGGCACCAGGCTGCAAAATAGGACAGAATCTGTCAGAGGGCCGCTGCGGCCTCCTCAGACATGCTCCACTGACAGACAGACAGACAGACACATACATAGACACACACAGACACACCCCTACCTCTTCATGAGGCCCCGCCCCCCAGGACCTCACTTACACCCTACCCCCACCCCCGGGAGGACACTCACAAGGCCTGGGCTCAGCTCAGCGCCCCGGAGACCAGTGCTGCTGCTGCTGCTGCTACTGCTGCTGGTGGTACTGGGGAGGCCGGGCGGCCGGGAAGGGGCGTAAGGCACGCAGGCGGTGGTTGCTGCTGGTGAAACGCTGGAGTCCATCCGCGACCTCTGAACTCTGCTCTCTCTAAGGTCACTTCCAGGGAGACGGGTGGCAGGCGGGCAGCCATGGCTCTCTGCTCCTTGGGGGCGGGGGCCTGGCCCTGGGGGTGTAGCCGGGACCAGCCGGTGGCCGGGGGTGTGTGCGGTGTAGGCTGGGGCTGGGTATGGATATGGGTGAGGGAGCGAGTGCCGCTGCTCCTGTGGTAGATACATGAGGGCACCAGGTGAGGAACCGAGTACACGAGGACTTGCAGGTAAGAGGTGAGGGACAACAGGTGCTCACCTGGCGTTCTGGGGGTGCTGAACCCTTACGCTCGGGGCCCCAGGCATCTCCATGCAGGGTACTCCACAGCCCTGGCTTGGTCAGCTGAAATGGAGGGCTGGTGGCTAGGCCAGGCAGGGGTGGGGGAGGGGGTGGAGGTGGGGGTGGTGGCGGTGGTGGTGGTAATGGTGGAGGCAGCGGCAGTCCTGGGGGAAGGCCAGTCTAGAAGAAAATGAGGGGTGAGAATCCCACCTTGCCCAAGTCCTACCTACTCACCACTTGTCTATCCACAAACAACCATACCTGTTCAGAGTTGCAGCCTCTCCTGCGCTTGCCTCCAGGGCTGAGGCCCTCCTCCCCAGAGGGGCCTGAGAGTGCTGCAGGAGGCACAGGCTGTACCACTGGGGGTTCAGCAGCCCGCTTCACTGGGGGACCCCCCCGCTTGGCCCCGTAGTTCCGCTTGTGCTGAGAATAAGAAGAGAGAATGGCACAGGTGCAGACCTGGCCCGTCTCTCCTCCCTAGCCCACCCAGCCCCAGCCTCACCTCAAGGTGCAGCAAGTTCCACACTTGCTCCAGTGGGGGTAGAACCTTGGCTCTATGCTGGCAGGAGCCGGCATGAAAGTTCCAAAGCTGGGCCTGGGGAAGTGAGGAAAGGGTGCAAGGAACAGGGCAGAAATAGACATAAGATGGGGGCACAGAGCCAGAAGGCACAATCCTGGTCCCTTAAGTCCTGCTTCGTCTCACCTGCTGTAGTCGGCCAATGCGGGGCCCCAGTTCAGCCAAATTTCCTCCATAGCGTAGGGCGCTGTGGTAGCAGCGTATGGCCTCCTCACTGTCATGCTCTGACTCGTACAGTTGCCCAAGCTGCTCCCACAGCCCTGGCTGGGCTGGTTCCCGGAGCAATGCCTGCACGCAGCTGTGCAAGGATTCCAGCTTACCATGGAGGGGTCTTGGGGTGGGTGTCCTACACAGCAGAAGAGGTTGGGGGAGTAGTCAGGCCTTGGGAGCTCTCTTTCAAGGCCTGAGCCTTACCTCCCATCCCCAGCACACCTCTGAATCCTTACTCACCCTGGAGCATAATACGGTTTGTTGGGGTGGCCACAGCTACTGCCATGTGAAGGGGTTAGGGGAGCAGAGAGTGGGGACTGCCCAATGCTGGAAGAGCACCTGGAGAGAGAAAGGATCTGTTAATGTACAGTGAGATAGAGTAGTCTCATGCATACCTACGAAGAAGACGACTGAGGAATAAAAGAAAGCAGTTGAGGACTGCACTGAAGCTCAGAGAGTGGCAGAAACCCAGAGAATGACACAGAAATTGAAGGGTACAGGAGCCAGGGAGAGAAGTGCCAGAGGAGAGAGAGAGAGAGAGAGAGAGATAACCAAGTTCTCACCTGCCTCCAGGCAGCCATGCGCTTCGAGGAGGGGGATGGGGCGGGCAGGAGCTCCAGGCCCCAGCACAGCTCAAGCCCCCAAGGGCAAAGGCTTCCCGTGCAGCGCGGGCCCCTGGAGGGTCCACTGCCCGATGCATTCAGCCTGAGTCAGGGAGAAGAGATTATGATCTTACTGGAGGCATACCCTGAGCTACCAGTTAATGCACAGTCAACTAAGCCCCAGTCTTTCCCTTACCAGGTCAGCAGTGGCCCCAGGAGCCCTGGAGATCGGGCACGGCCCCCTGCCCCAGCTCTCTGGGGCGACGGTCCCGCTCCAGCTGCTCTGACAGGAGTGCCCACTGCCCCCAGATTGCTGTCCAGGACCTTTCACAGCCAAATCTACTAAGAGAAGGAAAGGGAGTAGAGTGAGCCGGCCAGCACACAATCAGGACTGTGGAGCTGTGGGCTGGCCTGACTGTGGCACCCACAGGCCTGTCATCTGGGCAGGGAAGGGAGCCCAGCAGTGGCTTTCCCTGAGGGGAGGCCCATCTGGCCTAGGGAGCCCCTAGGGGCCCAGGAGAGTGGCTAGGCGCCGGGATGGGTGGCAGGGGGCGGAATAGCCAGTTGTTAGGAAACGGTGGCAGGGCTGCCAGGTTTTCAGTATAGAGCCACCCGGCTGAGAGTCAACGCTGCGATAGCTTACCCGGCCTCCGTGGGAGCGTCCTAATAGCGTCGGCGAGCTCTCCAGAGATCCGGCCAATCACAGGACTTCCTCTCTCCCCAGAAAGCCAATCATCACCCGTGTCTCCGCCTCAGTAACAGCCTGGCCGGGACCAATAGGAGCGAGGTTAGCCCGTTTCTGTGGGCCAGGGGAGGAGGGGCGGCGGAGCCGGTCAGACGGGATCGGCGCGGGGTGACCCCGACGTGACCCCGAGGCTCCCACCTAGGGTCGCCATCTCGGACCTGACACGGGCCGGCGGAGCAAGCGGGGCCGGTGACCTGTACGGGTTAAGGAGGCGAGGCACACGCTCGGGCAGGCATAAGGGATGGCGCTACCCCCAAGTCCCACTCACCCACGGAGCCGCCGGTGGTCCCAGCCAGACCGTCCAAGACGCCCACTGCCCCGCTGCCCTAAGACCGACGGACGGTATAAGGATTGCACAACGCAGACAAAGGCATCGTTTCTCTTCCTCACTTCACCTCACCCAATGCATGACCTCCCCACCCCAAATGCCCCTTGGAACAGTTTAGGGCTGGCCCGTCATAGCGACTTCTACAACACCCAAACTCGCCGGCGCCGCGATGTGAGAGCTCCAACCCACGTCGGACCCCACCCCAAACCACAGTCTAGCCCCCAGCCTCATACCCAGTCCTTCTGCTCCTCCACTTCTCCTCTCTGGGTCTTCAAAACAAAGCGACCCCCAAAACCCAAACCTCCTTAATTCCCCAACTTCTGAGAAGTCGCGCACCGCGGTTCCGGGTGGCCCCTCTCGCGTGGCTCCGGTATCCTCTATGCCCTTCCCCGGCAGGGCCACGCGGTTCCCCACGGCCCACGTGGCCCCCGCCCCCCAAGGGAGGGGGGATTTCGGGGGTTGCCCGTGACGTGGCTACTTGCGCAGCGGAAGCGGCGTGTGTAAGTGTGGGGGGGTCCTTAGAGAGGGAGGAGGGCGGGGCTCGACAGGCGGTGACATCACCCTTGTCCCACTCTCACCGCCCACTCCCTTAAAGAACCCAGAACCCGTTTCACTTCCTCCTTCACGGCCCCCCTTCAGCCTCTTCCCGTCGGTGCTGGCTCGACCCACGACGGGCGCAGCGCTCCCCTTCCTGGGCACCTTCCCTTTAGCCCCCATTTTTTCCTTCTCGCCTCTCTGAGCCCAGAATCTCCGTCCCCGCGCCTCCTCCTCGCCTACCCGGCGTCCCCGCAGGTAGAGAGCCGGCTCCGCTCCCAGGATCGGCCCATTGAGAGTCTAGAGTACAAAGAGCTGAGAGAGGCGAGTGTAGAGTACAAAGCGGCGGGGGCGGGGCCAGCGCTCCAGCTGGAGTAAGCCCCGGGCAGGAAGCCGGGGGAGAGTGCGCGACTAGGGGCTGGGGGCGGCTGGAAAGTTAGCCTTCGCTGAGAGAATCTAAACTGTGGGGAAATTTCCACCCAACCCACAAGGTCAGGTGGGTTCCTGATGAAAATAGTTCTCCCTCCATAGGGCACGGTCGTCTGTGTGCTTGCGAGCGCTTGAACGGTACGGGTCAAGGGTGCCAGGCGCCCCCGAGCCCTGATGAATGCCTGGGCTCTACGGACTCTACCGCAGTTCGTGCGGAGCTTCTGTCAGAATTCTCTTCGCCAAACAGCCTTTCTATCAGTTACCAGGTCCTGGAACGAGTACATCGCTTAACTGCGTTCAAGTATGCCCTGGTCAGCTACCCCAAGTCCTGCGCCCCAGGGACCAGACATGGACAACGGGGAATCGGGGTCCAGACATCAGAGGAACAAATCCCTCCCTTTGGAAGTGGTGCCGAGGGCGCTACCAGTTACCAGGAAATGCAGCTTCCCCTTCTGCGATGATGACACTTCCCCTCTACCACTTCCCCTTTCCCACGGGGAACTGACTCAGCTTTCCCTAAACTAGCGAGTTCCGTCCCTCCAGCCCCTTTTATCCACAAACCCCACGCCGTTACTCAGAATACAGCAGCCCTCACTTGAGGACAAAAACTTCTTGTACACTAAACACACACTCTCTCCAACCATCTCGGATCCTTGTCCCCAGCCGGGACCCAGGCGCCTGACTCCCCACCTTCCGCACAAAGCCCTCCCTCAGGGTCTGATTCAGGCTTGGGGTGGGAGAGCGTGAGTCACCCAGAAAACCTTCCCCTATTCCCACTGACTCAGCCCCCGCCTCCCTGAACACACATAGACACACCGTCAGAGGCAGACACAACTCAGCCCACACACCGTTCAGCACTGGTCCCGCGGAATTCCCCTCTCGTCTTCCCCCACGACGGCCCCTCCCCGCGCCCGGCTGCTCAGACGCTGCCCTCACACCTGTTACCCAGGCGCCCGCAGACGGCTCGCGGTCCACTCTCACCTCCACTCTCGCTTTGAGGCAGGAATAGTCCTCCCCGACTCCCGGTGTCCGTACTAACCAAAGGGAGGGGACAACCACGGACAGGCACACAGACAGACACCCACAGACTCCTCGAACACAGGCGAGAGGTAGATGCACGCGGCCAAAGCTAGTCTGGGAAGACGATATACTTCGGAAACAAACACTCCTGTCCCGCCCCACACACAAACCCGAGCGGCTCAGCCGCCCAGAAAGGGTTAAAGCTCCTCTAGCCGAGGCCACGCCCTCTCCATCCGGGCACTCCCGGGTAAGCCCAGCTCCGCCCCTTCCATCCGGGCTCCGGACTCCGGGACTTTAACCGATCCTCCTCCCCTAGAGCCCCGAGAGAGACCTACTCCATCAATCACACCCACTTAACTCTCTCCGGCCTCGAGGCTCCTGAAGTCCCTCCGCGCACCGCTTCAGCCGCGCGCACGCAGACTTACATGCCGGCCAAAGACAAGATCCCGAAGGTGGTGTTTTACCAAGCAGGCAGTCAGCAGGCACGCTGCAAGCACGCGGATATGGGGCGGGTCTTGGAATTCTGCCGCATCCCACTCCCTGCCAGGCCTCATTTTGCCTGGTAGAAGCGAGGGGTTACAGGCTCGCTTCTTACCTGCGGGAGAGGGAGGCGGAGGGGAGGGCCGCCGGCTGGGGCTCCGCTGTGACTCAGCCACCCGGGCAGGCCGCCCGCTCGGGATTCCCTTCCCCAGACTTGCGCGGCTGCTGGCCCCTCCCCGCCCCCACCGTGGAGTGACAGTGCCGGTCCCGGCCCGCTATGTGTCACTGTGAGCCTTGTGTCTGCCTCTGACTGGACCGCTGTGTTCGTCTGTCTGAGAAGGTCGGCTGTGTGTGGTTCTCGGTGTCTATCTCCATATGTACCTGCATATCTGCTCATCTTGTCTCCTTCAGTGCCTGTGTCTGACGCGTTCCTGTCATTAACGCCTGTCTACATGACTCGGAGGGGCTGTCTGTCTGCCTGGCTCCTCTCTCGGTCTTTTGTCTGGGTCTGCCTCTGCATCACTTGCGTGATCACGTGTGTCTCTGCACATGCCCTTCTGTGTTTGCCTTCATGTTTCTGAACAGTCAGGGAACACTGGAGCACGCTGACCCTGCCCATTCCTCGGCTTGCTCTGAATCCTAATGCCTTGCTGGGCCAGTGATCGTGCTTTTTGAGTCAAATATTTGGGAGACTGTCTTTAGTCAAGTTTCTATCCTATTTCTCAACACCTGTGATTACCCTCACAGCTCTATGCGGCTCCCATCGTGGCGATAATTGCTAACATTTAGTAAATCCTTACTACATGCCAGGCACTGTGTTAAGCACTTTATACACACTTTTAAAGCTTCTCCCCAAAACCCGACCAGGAGATACTTTTAGAAACCCATTTTACATATCAGGAAATCGAGGCTCAGAGGTTAGCTAAGTTGGTCAAGGTTATTGTACAAGAGAATGGAAGAGCTGGGCTTCTTTCCACAGCCTCATTCTTATCACTCTTCTATAATGCCTTTGTCCTATTCTCCCTCTGTTGGTTTCATCCTCACAGACGATTTCCTGGGTCAGTTTTATCCCTGGTTACCATCCCAAAAATCTCATGTCCTCTAGAGAAAGTGTGGATAGGAGCATGTGCAGCAGATCTCAGAAGCCATCAGTTTCTTGGCAATGAAGCTCATTCAGTTAGCACATTCATTCAACACAATTCCACTGAGGCACCCCAATGTGCAAACCATCTTGCCAAATAGAGATACACAGAAGAAAACAGTCCCACTCAAAAATTCAGCAAGTAGTGGAGAGAGTGACACACACTCAGAGAACTTAAGGTCTCTAGTATCCTTTCTCCTATAGAAGAATGGGAGATGGAGCAGGCCTCAGGCAGCATAAGAGGAATTAAGATGGGGGGGCATCTGCTGTAGTAAGGGGCAGATGCTGTAGTGCAACAGGGAGAGAACTGATCAGAACAGGATCTAGAAGGAAAGATGAGATGTCAAGATTGCCGTGTTGACAGCAGTTTGTTGTGGCAATGGCCTCCAGTATCTCCAAATCAATTCCAATAACCTTCCCTAAGACAGTGAAACAACTCTCACAGGGGCAACCCCTCCCCATCCCAAGAAAAATCCCTTCAGGTTATCTCACCTCTACTTTCCAGGTTGCAAACTCTAGCTGAATTCATTTCAATAAGCAACTGAGTTTTAGCGATGGGGTGGGGGTTGGGGGTGGGGAGATACTTTTTTAGTAGAGATGCTGGTGAAGTACAGGGCTGAACCACTCAAAGGCAACAGGGGAGCTCCATAAACCAGGAAGGCTGAACCACATGGTGGGGGGATACTCAAAGTTGGACTGGACTATTCTGAGGAGTGGGCATGAATCAGATCATACCACTCCTCTCTAAGAATGTGGCATAGGGTTGGACTGGAAGAGGATAGGAGTTTCTCAGAAGCAGGACTTACCAGATGGAGTTTCGTGTGCCCTGTCTCATTGGAATCAGTGCCCCAGCAGTGGGGTGCAGCAGACCACGGTGGGTGGGGTGGGTGGTACTACGGGGCTGGCATGATGCCTGGGGGAACCTAAGAGGAAAAAAAGCTAGTTAGAGATGGGATATCCCAGTCTGGAAAATTTTCCTGTGCTTTCTGTCCCCTTACTGAAGAGAAACCGGGTTCTGGTGGTCCAAAGTGATGGGAGAATCTGTTTCCATGGCAACCAGAAAAAGCCATCCCCAAAGAGGTCTTCCAGCTTTCCCCTTTAGGAAATAGCCTGGACCTGGGGTAAGAGGAGCATGCTATGGCATCTGGGTTAAGTCCACAGTGGATACCCAACCCATGATCCCTCTTCTGACTATATTCTCCTGCTAAGAGTCCCTGGCCCCAGAGACGCTCCAGCTGTCCCTGACATCTGCACCCTAGTCAGCCTCAATCCTGGTGCCAGGCATACAGATCTTCCCTTCAGCTCTGCCTCCTCAACCTTATCAAGGCACCAGTTAACCCCACCCTCTGGACTCTGCCCCCTCCCCTTCCCCCAAGCGGGTGCAGGCAGGTTTTGGCGAGCAGCACAGGTGGCCAGACTAGATAAACGGGCCCAGCAGGGAGGAGCCATCTTCCTCAGCAAGGACTGTGACTCTGGGCCTGGGTCTGAAAGTGGCCTCTGCTCAAAGTCTCCCTTCTATCCAATCCTTCAAGGCCATATCCTGTTTCCCCATCACCTCCTTCCTCTACGTGGCTCAATAGGTGATAGAGGCCGACTCTCTCCCCTCTTAAGAAAGACAAGAAGCTAGGTCTTTTAACCGAAGTCCACAGACAGAAATCAGGTGTCCGCCCAGGGGTCACACCTAAGTCTGCTTTCACCTCAAACCCACTCCTCAGGGAGTTTTTTTGCTCCCCTAGCCACAGTTCCCTGTCCTTAATGACCCACACACTGGCTCCCCCAGACACTTGGGCTCTTGGTCTAGTCTTTCCATTCCCTAGCCTTCCAGCCCCCATTCTTCCCCCTGCCCCAGAGACTCAGGCCTCCGGCCCCCAGCCTCCATGATGCAATGTGCTGCAAGCTGCCTAGCTGCTGATGACACTGCCCCCAGGGAAGTGCTATTTCTGACCTATGCAAGGCCCCTCATGGTGGGAGGGTAGTGGTCAGCTGCAGGCTAGGGAGCCCAGACAGACAAGAGGCAAGGTCCTTCTGCTGGAGAAGGGAGATGGGGCTGGACCCCTCCAGGACAAGGACACTCAGAATGTGGGACCTGGGGGGGAGAGAGAGAGTGTGTGTGTGTGTGT